ATTTAAGAGTTTAAGTAGAAATTTAGTGCAGCCTCAAGGAGTCGCTAATAATTTTAAACAATTGGTGCTTAATAATTATACTCAATAGCAGAGGTTTCGGTAAACCACACATTGAATCGTTCATTAAGTAAAACTATTAGGATTTTGAATTTGTTATAAATATCTAAAAAGAAGAATTTGTTACTATATTAGCAAATGCACCTGGCAACTATTTAAGACTTTACCTGAGAATCATGTATTTAACTCATTTAGGAGATAATTGAGTTGTAAGATTTTCCACAAAAATTATTATTTAGGTTTAGAGTAGAACAAGAACTCCCTTTTTTATAAATGATTTATGGCACTATGTAAGCAGTCATCAGTAATGCTGGTTTGCAGAGTCTTATCACTTGTCACCTTTTTATACAGAAATCAAATGATACAGGAAGCATCGATTCCATGCATGTTAAACAATTTGCATTTTTTATATTAATTGTTCTCTATTACATGTTAATTAATATATATCTCACTGGATAATAATAACTGTAACAATCTTAGACACACTACGAATGTTTATCCATTTTTAAGACCACCACTGAAACAACTTAGATAAAAATGATGTGTTTAAGTTTTTTTATAATTTTATATTTATTTGATTATCAAATATTATGACCTCTTAGATGAAGTAAACGCTAGATGCAAAGCTTTCATATATAAAATCTCCAGCATTNTACTATTGAAGTCAGAACAATAAAGCAATATTTAATATACTATGCAATCATTTTTTAAATTGAAATTAAATAATTATGCGTGATCCTTTTTAAAGAGCAGTGCTTTGACACTTATTTTTAAATATTTTTTTTAATATTAAAAATTGATTATATAAAATGATATTATTCCTTTAATATTTATTCGATTGAGGTGGTGAAAGCTTTCAGTACATCACCTATCGTGTTTGTAATGATGTATCTCTCTGGTTCTGGATGCTGTCAAGTATTACATGGAGAAGATCTGGTTGCAGGTAAAAATACTGGCACAATAAATACAATATCTGATTAATTTTGAACTATAAATTTTTGTGTAGGATAAGAACTTAACCTTATTAATTTTTAGAACAGTATAAGGTAGATTTACAATGATTATTCAAATTATTTTGATTACGATGACTTTTAATTGTTACTTGCTCAAATATTATTCATTTATTATTATTCATATATTGATTTTCTAATTAAAATATTTTTAGGATTACTAAAATGTAGAAATCATTTTTGATAATTTGCTTTATTATGATTTTATAAAATTAATTTCTTTCCTTATGATTTATTCTAAAATAGTTTAAACCTAAAATTGATTTGATGCATTCCTGATAAATTAAAATATATGTATATTATCAAATTAATATTGTATTGTATATGTAATTTCATCAGATCAATTTCATTAAATATATGACTATTTTACATCAATTTAGATTGCTTAATTGTAATCAATTAATGATTTCTCTTTCTCACCTATATCATAATATAAAATGCCTAATATATTTAATTTATTGTATTCACTTCTATTATATAACGCTTTAGTGAATTGTGGATCGAGTTAAATTACTTGATTATAATCAATTAATGCTTTGTCCTTCTTTCCCATTTCATAATATAAAACACCTAAGATACTAACTGCAAAAGTATTCACCTCTATTATAATATGCAATAGTAAATTTTGGATCATACTATATCGCTTGATTATAATCCATTAATGCTTTGTCTTTCTAGCCAACATTTTTATATAAATTGCCTAGTAAGTTAATATTAACAGTATCACCTCTATTGACATAGGCTTAAACATTTTTTTCATCAAATTGGATCACATAATTATAATCAATTAATGCTTTGTCATTCTAGCCATTTTTTTTATATACGTTGCCTAAAATGTTTTGTGTAATAGCATTTACCTCTATTAATGTAGGCATTTGAAAATTTGTAATCTTATTTGATTGCTTAATTATAATCAATTAATGCTTTGTCTTTCTCACCAATATCATAATATAAAACTCCTAATATATTAAGTATAATGGTGTTCACCTCGATTATAGTATGCTTTAGTATATTTTTAATTTAGTTGGATTGCTTGATTATAGTCAATTAATGCTTTGTCTTTCTCACCAAATTTATAATATAAAACACCTAAGATAAAGTATAATAGTATTTACCTCTATTCATGTAAGTGTTAGCAAATTTTGGATCGATTCTTATTGCTTGAGCAAAATCAAATAACGCATTAGCTTTTTCGCCAATATGACAATATAAAACGCCTAATATATCAAGCTTAATAGTGTTCACCTCTTTTATAGTAAGCGCTAGCAAAATTTGGATCAAGTTGGATTGCTTAATTGTAATCAAGTAGTGCATAATCTTTCTAACCAATATCATAATATAAAACTCCTAATATACTAATATAATAGTACACACCTCGTTTATAGTATGCACTAATAAATCTTGGATTTAGTTTGATTGCTTGATTATAATCAATTAATGCATTGTCTTTCACTCCAATTTTATAATATAAAGCACCTAATATATTAAGTGCAATAGTATTTACCTCTTTTATAGTAGGCTTAAGTTGATTTTGGATCAAGTTGGATTACTTGATTATAATCCAGTATTGCTTTGTTTTTCTAATTAATTTTGTTATATATATCGCCTAATTATTTAAGTGTGATAGTCTTAACCTCTATTCATGTAAGCATTACTAAATTATGGATTATATCGGATTGCTCGATCGTAATCATAAAGTGCAGACTCGTTTTGAGAAGTTTCTTTTTTTAAATTGCCTATTTTATTAGGTGCAATAGTATTTACCTCTTTTATAGTAAGCTTTAGAATATTCAGGATCAAGTTGGATGGCTTGATAATAATCATCTAATGCTTTCTCTTTCTCTCGAATATCATAATATAAATCACCTAATATATATTCAGTAAAATAATTTCACCTCTCTTATAGTAGGCTTTAGCATATTGTGGATCAAGTTGAATTGTTTAATTATAATCATATAATGCTTTGTCTTTCTCACCAATTTTATAATATAAAACACCTAATAAATTAAGTGCAATAGTATTTACCTCTTTTATAGTAGGCTTCAGAATATTTTGGATCAAGTTGGATGGCTTAATTATAATCATATAATGCTTTCTCTTTCTCTCCAATATCATAATATAAAACTCCTAATATATTCAGTAAAGTAATTTCACCTCTTTTATGGTAGGCTTTAGCGTATTTTGGATCAAGTTGAATTGTTTGATTATAATCACAGAATGCTTTTTCTTTCTCGCCAGTTTCATAATATAAAGTGCCTAATCAATAAAGTGTAATAGTACTCACCTCTTTTAAGTAAGGCTTTAGTATATTTTGGATCAAGTCGGATTGCTTTATTATAATCCATTAAGGCATTGTCTTTCAAACCAGAATCAAAATATAAAACGCCTAATATATTAAGCTTAATAGTATTCACCTCTTTGATAGTAGGCTTCTGTGTATTTTGGATCAAGTTGGATTGCCTAATTATAATCAAATAATGCATTGTCTTTCTCACCAATATCATAAAATACACGCCCTAAAATATTTAGTTTAATGGTATTCACCTCTTTGATAGTAGGCTTTATTGTATTTTGGATCAATTTAGATTGTTTGATTATAATAAAATAATGCGTTCTATTTCTCACCAATGTTATAATAAAGCACACCTAATTTATTTAGTGTAATAGTATTTACCTAAACTTAAATAAGCATCTGTATTTTATGGATCGATTTGGATTGCTTGTTTATAATCATTTAATGCTTTGTCTTTCTCTCCTATTTGATAATATAAAACGCCTAATATATTAAGCTTAATAGTATTCACCTCTATTAATGTAGGCATCAGTATATTATGGATCTAATTCAATTACTTGATTATAATCCATTAACGCATTTTCATTCTAGCCAATATCATAAAATAAGGCGCCTATATATTAAGCGTAATAGTATTTACCTCTTTTGTAGTAGGCATTAATAAATTTTGGATTAAGTTAAATTGCTTGATTGTAATCAATTAATGCATTATCATTCTCATCAATCTTTTTATATAAATTGCCTTTTATATTATGTGTAGTATATTCACCTCTATTATAGTAGCTTTAACTATATTTTGGATTAATTTTAATAGCTTCATTGTAATCTTTAAAAGCTTGATCGATTAGGCTTTCGTCCTCATAATACAAGCCTTTTTTTCACATTATTTTACCTCTACACATAAATGCATAAAAACAATAACAATCTTTTTCCAAAGCATAATTATAATAATAAAGTTCTTTATCTTTTTATTTCAAATCACTCATGATGGTACCTACAAGTTTATTCTTATTATTACCCATTCTACAATATGCCATAGCATGATTTGTATTTATCTCAATGCATCTCATACAATCCTATAAAGCTTGGTCAAATTACTATTTTCTCCAATAAATGGTTGCTTTGATTTTAAAATTCAAACTATACCTCTCTAATAAAAACTTTCTGCATTTTTATCATTAATAGATATGCTATAATTTACATCTAACAATGCCCAATAATATTAATTCAAATTTTCATATAATTCACATAAATTAATATTTTCGAAATTATACTTCTTAAAGTGTGTGCTTCTGAAATTACGGATCAATGTTCAAAGCTTTATTATTTTCTAAAATTGATTCTTCAATTCTATAAGTATTTTTTAACTCCTAAAATATTGTTTATTTATTTACTTAGCTTTTTAAATAAAGTCCAAAAACATCATCATTTTCTGATTCCTTTTCCTTAATTTTGCTCATTTTTAAGTTTTTTTCAACTTATTCTCTAAATTAATTAATAAATTTACAGAATTTTTTATCATGTTTGAAATTAAAATACTTTAGGATTGGTTTTGTTCAGATATCCATGATATATAGTTCTTTATTTTTATTTAATATTTATTATTAGAAGTAAAACTAATTATAGGATAAAAATGATACTCAATGAAGGCAAGTAGCAAGTGAATTCAAATTTTATTTAGGAAGAATATAGAGGAAATAAGAAATAAATAATATGATGACCTCAACTTGTAAATAAGTGCAAAAGTCATTTATATTTTTAGAATACATTAAGAATGTGAGAGAATATAGTAATTGCGTTTCTATTGCTATCAGGTATTAATTCTTAATTTTATATTGTTGATATTTAAGTTCTTAAGCTAGGTGCTATACTTAGTCACAATCACAAGATGTGCAATTCTTTGATGTAATTTCACATGCAAGGCAATTAGAATTACATTTAGAAAAAAGTGACTAGCTAACATTCTTAATACCTTAATTGACATTTTTGGCAATTTCTATTTTTCTTGTTTAGAGACATGATAAACAAGATCGTTCAAAACAACATAAACTTTAAATATCGTATTTTAACATTATGTTGATTTTCAGTCATCTAAATATCCAAATAAACACTGCCGTGTATTATTATAAAGTAACATATTTGAACTGCCCATGTGGAAACATAATGTAAAGGAATTAGCATTTCCAGAAATGCAAGCTAAGCAAGAGTAATCGCAATTTTCAACTCCAGTATCATAGCATCCAATATAGGAATCACTAGAATAATAAATTTTGTTTGATTAAATTAAACATTATTCACATTTAGTTGCGGTATCATTCATTAAAGGAAGAATAACGGCATTCTTAAATGATTATTGCAGATTTAAATTTAAATCCATCGCTCACTCCATCATAACAGCTTTGAATAAATTGGCATTTATTCATAGATTAATTTTATGCATTGTTTTCCATTTGAAAAAGTAAAATTACCATTGAAATATTGATTGCAGTTTTGATTTCGTTAATAAAACCCGAGTT